AACTAGACCATCCTCTTACTCCATACACAAAGATAATCTCAAAATGGATGAAAGATCTAAATGTGAGACAAGAATCCATCAAAATCCTAGAGGTGAACACAGGCAACACCCTTTTTGAACTTGGCCACAGCAACTTCTTGCAAGATACGTCTATGAAGGCAACGGAAATAAAAGCAAAAATGAATTATTGGGACTTCATCAAGATAAAAAAGCTTCTTCACAGCAAGAGAAAGACAACCTACAGAATGGGAGAACATATTTGCAAATGACATATCAGACAAAGGGCTGGTATCCAAGATCTATAAGGATCTTAGTAAACTCAATAGGAAAGAAACAAACAATCCAATCATGAAATGGGCAAAAGACATGAAGAGAAATCTCATAGAGGAAGACATAGACATGGCCAACAAGCACGAGAAAATGCTCCGCACTGTTGGTGGGAATGTGAACTGGTGCAGCCGCTCTGGAAAACTGTGTGGAGGTTCCTCAAAGAGTGAAAAATAGACCTGCCCTACAACCCAGCAATTGCACTGCTGGGGGGTTTACCCCAAAGATACAGATGCAGTGAAACACCGGGACACCTGCACCCCAAGGTTTATAGCAGCAATGTCCACAATAGCCAAACTGTGGAAGGAGCCTCGGTGTCCATCGAAAGATGAATGGATAAAGAAGATGTGGTTTATGTATACAATGGAATATTACTCAGCCATTAGAAATGACAAATACCCACCATTTACTACAATGTGGATGGACCTGGAGGGTATTATGCGGAGTGAAGTAAGTCAATCGGTGGACAAATGTTATATGGTTTCACTCATACAGGGAACATAAAAAATAGTGAAAGGGAATAAAGGGGAAAGGAGAAAAAATGAGTGGGAAATATCAGAGAGGGAGACAGAACATGAGAGACTCCTAACTCTGGGAAATGAACAAGGGGTGGTGGAAGGGGAGGAGGGCGGGGGGCGGGGGGACTGGGTGACAGGCACTGAGGGGGGCACTTGACGGGATGAGCACTGGGTGTTATGCTGTATGTTGGCAAACTGAACTCCAATAAGAAAATACACACACACACACACACACAAAGAAGATCTCAGCTCAGAATCTCAGTTTATTCCTCAGGTTTTGTTGCCTTTTTCGTGAAGGCAGAGATGCCTGATACTCAGGCCAAGATGTGTGATGAAAGACCTTTGGAAAATGTAATCTGGATTCAAAGTTGATACAAGATAGTTTTGATGATTATATTCTATAATCAAATAGTAAATTTGAGTATTAAAATAAAGATTAGTTTTTTAATAGCTCACATAGAGTACTATATTAAAATTACTATTAAAATATATTCTCATTTATCATCAGTTTGAAAGATGAGCTGGATTTCACTCAGATTGGTCTGGTCCCTCTCTGATTCAGATTCTGCTATCTCATTAGAATGGGACAGTTGCTTATGGTTAGTTGTGCTCACTAACCATGTTTATTTTCAGTTTGTGTGAGTTGTATCTTTTAAATTTATTATAACAACCTTAAAGTTTCAGTGGCTTACCACAACAAATGCTGATTTTCATGTTCATGGGTCTGCATGTCAGCTGGGTAGCTCTCCTTCAGGTAGTAGGTCTAGTTCAGGCATGCTCCCATACCTTGCATTCTCTTATGAATGGCAGGAACACCAGAGAGGAAGAGGAGAAACAGGATGCCTTTTATAGATTGGCCAGGACAGGCCCCTGTCCACATTCTACTGACCAAAATAAGTCATATGACCAAGGGCAACAATTAGCAAGTTGGAGAAATACGGAGAGGAATGGCTAGGTCATATGGCAAAGGGCATGAATAGCTTATTCTAATACAGAAGAGGAGCGAAGCAGTGGGCACAATGACTGAACTACCACACAGTGTCTCATTAACTAAAACATAAAGGCTGTTTTCTATAAATTAGAGTCTATTTATCTTGCCAAGGAATATTTTTTTAAAATGTCATTACTTCCAAGATGGCATCAATCTGCAACTTCTTTCCACAGCCTTAATCGGGATGTTCTAGCAACCTGCAGATTAGCCTCGTGTTCTATTACCATAGAACCATTGTATGGTACGGTTCTATTACCATTTCCTAAGAGAACATGCATCTATTTATTTTATTTTATGTATTTAGGAAAAAATGTAGCTAACTACCCAAGTTTTTCTTTGTACCTGAATCTAATACAACTGAGTACATTTAGTTTTATCACAGGTATAATGGATTTTTTTAATAATGGGAAAAGGAGTATCTCTGTGAATCTTCTCTAGAAAAATAGCTCTTAAGACTGTACATATGATAGAAGCACTACTATACGTTTTGCATTTCTCTATGTTAAATAAATGTCTAACTTTAAATTGATGATACCGTGATGGCATCAACCTCATCAGCATCTGAGTTGACTTTCTGTTTTTATATCCCTATTGAATGTATAGTGAATAGCAAAGGTCACCACAGTACATGGATCAGTCAATAAAAAATGAGATACAGTCACCTAAAAAACAGCATCACTCCTTATAATGAAGTCCTACGAAGAAAGGGTAGGAAACCCTGGGAGCTGGGTGGGGAACACTGAGTACTCAGGGTGACCTAAACCAAATTCTATTTTTCCTCCTAAACCCACCCTGACTCCTGAATTATATAATTAATGCCAGCACTGTGTCAAGTAACCAGGACTTCATCAACTCATCAGCACTTGCCCATTTTACCTTTGCAACATTTTTCATTTTGATTCCCCTTTCCAATCTTATTGTTATCATCCCAGTAAAGACCTGACACCAGGAATGGTGGTTCTGTCTCCAATATTAATGACAGAGTGAGCTTTATAAAAAACAGGCTTTGGGGCAGCTGGATGGCTCAGTTGGTTGTGTCGGATTCTTGATTTTGGCTCAGGTCACCTGCTTCGGGCTCTGTGCTCAGTGCAGAATCTGCTTGTCCCTCTCCTCCTCCTCCCACTATCTCAAATAAGTAAAGAAAGACATAAGTAAAATCTTTTCTAAAGACAGCAGGCTTTCTCACATTGCTCCCTAAAATTGCTAGTAGGTGTCCATTGCCTACAAAATAAGGTCAAACTCTCCAATAGACATTCAAGCTACCTGAACCATGCCTATAAGCGCTCTCCAGGCTTACATCCCGCTCCACCCCTCTGATGTTACCTACACTCCAGGCAGGACAGACTGCTTGTTCACCCAACACTGTTCAGGTTATTTGCTCAACTTGGAACACCTCTGCCCCACTCTACCTGTAAACCTCAGCTCAAATGCCTTCAGTGGAGCCTTCTTCACATCTCCAAGTCAGAATAAACTGTTTCTTCCCTGTGCTCCTGCAGCTCTTTTTCTAGGCCTGGATTAGACCTCAGATCCTTCTATTCTGGGTCTGGGTTAATCTACCTCTCCACTGCCAGGAAGACTGGTCCATACTACTATTTCTGCTTTGGTAGACTTATTTCGTTGTCTCTTGACATGACCTACATCTTCCTCCAGCTCTTAAGGACCAGCTCAACTCCTGCTTCCTCAGTGATGCCTCCTTGCATTACTTACGCTGAACTTCTCCTTGGACCATGCATTTCGTTTCTGTGTAGCTCTTGATCACACACATTATTTAAGTAGAATTTTAAGGATTAGAATGCACCTTAAAAGGCCATGCTTATCAAAACTTAATGTGTATATAACTCACATAGGAATTTTGTTGGAATAGAAATTGTAATTAATAAAAGATGATTCAGTAGGTCTGGGGTGAAGCTGAAGTTCTCCATTTCCCACTGGCTGCCTGGTAATGCCAGTACTGCCGTCCAGGCACACTTCGAGCATCAAAGCCCTAGGCTACTTTAGCATCCACAGAGTTCCTTCTAAAGGCTCTCGGGTGACTGCCGTCATCATTTGGCAGCCCACTCCAGTGGCCAGCTCAAGGGCAATTCACAAAGCTTAACTTTTTCTTTATACTCAACATTCCTCAACGGTTTCATCAATTCTTCTGTGCCTCATTCAGATTTGTCTGCCTTGCCCTCTGCCTTTGGGGAGCCACAGCCTAGCACCCAGTGAGAGCCTGGTACGCTGCCTAGGGATTTCTTCCAGTTCTCCTGCCAGCGTGTTATCCCTGCGCTTCTGCTAGAAACCCGTGGGAAAGAGCTGGAAGTGATCCATAATACAAGCCGACATGGAACCTTTATTTTTATTTTTTTTAATTTTTTTGTTTTATTTATTTATGATAGACACACAGTGAGAGAGAGAGAGGCAGAGACACAGGCAGAGGGAGAAGCAGGCTCCATGCACCGGGAGCCCGACGTGGGATTCGATCCCGGGTCTCCAGGATCGCACCCTGGGCCAAAGGCAGGCGCTAAACCGCTGCGCCACCCAGGGATCCCGACATGGAATCTTTAAAGACTTCATAAAGTTCAGCTGGTTTCTTATTATTGCTATGATGGATTCTTCCTTCTCCCAGCACTATGAGCCATAGAAGAGTTACTGGCTGAGAAATTTAGTTCTGATGGGCTTTTGAGCTCTATGATTTTGTAGTTTAACCAACTAGGTGGAATCTATCTCTTGCTCTATGCACACAATAATCACTTGTAAAATGAATAAATAAATCATAAGGAAATTATTTTTTATGAAGTTTGCAATCAGAAATGCAATTCATTAGCATATATAACTAAAAATAGAGCCTCAATAAATCAAATTTCCAGTGCTGCAAAAGCAAAAACTACATGTATTCCACATTATAGTTTCCTTATATTTATAAATACTCTTAGAAAAAACTGAAAGATGTAGATGGCTAACTTTGTAATAACATGGGCTGCCTTCTGACATACAGCTTATTTGATTATGAAATTATTTTTGGTCCAGTAATAGTACAAAGGGAGCAAGTATAGATAAATGGTGGGCAGTTTTAAAGTGAACTACTTGGCACCACTTGCAGTTTTTTCTAAAAGTCCATAATGCCCTCTTTCCAGCTCTACAATTGGCAGGCATACTGTAATTGTAATCAGTAGCTTAAAAATATGACCTTTTGTCCTGTTCCATATCTCTTGGGTTTCTGATTCCACAATAGTCAACAGAACCATCTTCTTGGAATTCACATGGAGATGAAAGTTCCTGTGAAGAATATGCTGTCAATCTGCTCTGTTTTCCACAGCTAAATCCACCTGGAGGATGTACTCTTCGATTATCTTCTGGATACACCAGTCTAATAATGTAATATATAGTTATTTTTAGTTTTTTATTATTCGAGCTTTCAAACATAAACAATAGTAGGATAATACACATCCATGTGCCTAACAGAACTTAAACACTTGTCACCACTTTATAAGTGTCACACAAACAGGAGTTAATTATAATCACAAGATTCAAACTTTATGGGGGGCGCCATGCTGAAAGAAGGGAGTATACACCTTTTTACCAACAATCAAACAGTGAAGGTGGGCAGAGCCCCTGCGTGATGCAACATGGTAACGTAAGACAAGGGCTCAGGTCCTTAACCACATGGAAGAACATACCTCACATGAAAGGGGGTGGGCCCCTTATCACCCTGCAGAGATTTAGGACCACAGCAACTATATTTGCCTATTCCTTTGTGAATTATGAAGTTAAAGACATCAGCAGAATCATTCTGGTGTAGCAGCAACTCAGCGGGTTATATGACCATAGACTGTCTCTTTTAGAATATTTCTTTGACACCGAGAAGCTAAAGACTAATGAGTCACCTGTTTTAAATTGTAGTTTTTGCTTTTCATACATGTTCAAACCTAAAATTTTTCTTTCAATTAACCTCAATTAAAATATACATTTGTGGGATAATTCCAGCAGATTTTTAGTATAAATATCTGATAGTGTCTATATAAAGAACTCATTTTTTTTTCCTACTGCAGCCCCTTCTCCAAGTTGCTAATATGTGTGTTATACTGTCAGTAGTGGGTAAGTTGAAAGGAAGAGGGCAGGAGGAGTCCTGTCTTGGCTGTCATTTGCCCTTTTTACCCTCAAACCAAGGTCTCTTTTGGTCTATCTCAATTTTTCCTCTCAGTCTCTATTTGATCAGAATACCTTAGAGCCATTTTAATCCTGTTAATAGCTGAAGAAGTTAGGAAATTAAGAAAAACTAAGTAATTTAAAACAAAAACTCCAATCTGATTTCTACAGAGTAGTTTAATATAAATCAGTATCGAATATACTTTTATTTATTTATTTTTAAAGACTTTATTTATTCATGAGAGACACACACACACAGAGAAGAGCAGAGACACAGACAGAGGGATATAGGAGGCTCCACGCAAGGGAGCCCTGCAGGGAGAAGCAGGCTCCACACAGGGAGCCCAACTTGGGACTCGATCCCAGGTCTCGAGGATCACGCCCTGAGCCGAAGGCAGATGCTCAACTGCTGAGCCACCCAGGCACCTGGAATATTATTTTATACTGAAACTTCTATTTTTTTCACATAGAATGCTTGTAATCCTGACCCCAAATTTGGTACTAAGTGACAAGATGGGAGAAAAAAGTAAGCCAACCAACGGCCTTTTCTTTTACATGCCCTCTTTTGAATTCTATAATCCTAACCCAGAGCATCATCAGTAAGAGAAAGGCTGTCCTAAGGGGAGTGAGAGATTTTTATTGACCAACCTTGTATTTTATCTTGTCCATTGGAAGACAGTGGGCTCGGGTTAGGTGCAGACTTATAATCATGGAATAGAGCTAAGCTATTATGAAGGAAATGAAACAAATTTCTAACTTAACTGGTACCAACTAGTAGCCACTGGTAACCCAGCTGCAGATAAACCAATTAATTGGTTTTGCAACCCCCAGACCACAAGGGAGGAGTGACAGTCATTTCCGAGGCAGTGGCCGGGATCTGCAGAAGTTGTATATAAACCTTGAATACAAGTGGATTCAATAAATATGCATTTTCTAACATGTTTATGTGTCAATGGTAGCAATCAGGGATAGGATTGATAAAGATGGTTGCACAGCTCAATCGGCATTTACCTCTGACTTTTGCTTCTGCATTTATCAGTGCCATGGTCCCTGTGAAATGAAGAAAGTGAGGAAGACAAGTGAGAGGTTGGTAGGAAAGGTAGGAGAAAAAAAAGAAAAGTTACTGAAGAAAACCAGGATAACCTGTAGGAGATTCAGGTAAAAATTCACACCTCTCCAGGTACATGTAGAATGATGCTGTACAACTGGAAGAAACATTCTGAATTGAAAGGGAAGCACATATTCACTTTATATTCTTCATCTCCTTTCTCAAACTTTTCCCCTCTTCCATGGTCTTATCCTCTATCCCATCATACTGCTCTCTTTTCCTGGCTTGGTTTTTTACTTCTATCCCTTTTTATATCCTTTCTTATCTTGTACTTTCCCTTTAGAATGTCAGGCTTCCCCTCTCTCCTTCTGCTTGCACTTCAGTTTCACTGTAGTCCATGTTCTCCTGATGCTCCCATCTAATGGCACAGAAGACAATTACTGCATGGCAGAGAAAGGACTCCTGGCACATGTATATTAAAAACCAATTTGTAAAAAATAATGATAAAAAATAAAAAATAATTTGTAGCAAACAAAAGGCAAACAAAAAAACAAACTTTTAACTATAGAAAACAAACTGATGGTTACCAAAGGGGAGGACGCAGGTGAAATAGGTGATGGGGATTAAGAATACCAAACTTATCCTGATGAGCACTAATATATAGAATTGCTGAATTACTTTATTATATTCCTAAAACTAATTTAACACTGTATGCTAACCATGCTGAAATTAAAATTTTAAAAAATAATTTGTAGCACATCTACAAGGAATACAGTTGACCCTTGAACAATTTGGAGGTTAGGGGTGCTTATCCCTGCATAGTCGAAAATGCACATATAACTTATAACTCCCCCAAAACTTAACAATTAACAGCCTGCTGTTTACCAGAAGCCTTACTGGTAACATAAACAGTTGATTAACATGTGGTCCTAAATAGTATATATTATATACTGTATTCTTACAATAAGCCAGAGAAAATATTCTTCAAAAATCATTAAGAGAAAGTACATTTACAGTACTGTAAAACATCCACATAAATGTGAACCCGCATAGTTTAAACCCATGTTGTTCAAGGGTCAACTCTATTTTTAAAAATCTTTATGTAAGGGATCCCTGGGTGGCTCAGCGGTTTAGCGCCTGCCTTTGGCCGGGGGCGCGATCCTGGAGTCCCGGGATCGTGTCCCAGGATCGAGTCCCGCGTCGGGCTCCTGGCATGGAGCCTGCTTCTCCCTCCTCCTGTGTCTCTGCCTCTCTCTCTCTCTCTGTGTGTCTATCATGAATAAATGAAATAAATCTTAAAAAAAAAAATCCTTATGTAAAAGTCATGGTATATCTTTGAAAAGTCTATTCCTGATATTTTTTTTTACTATTAGCTTACAGTGAAGGGTTAAACTGTTTAAATCTAATTTGTATATTTACCTCAATCTTGGGAAATAAAGGTAAATTTTTAATTCACAGCATCAGAAATAAACCTTGATTATAAATTGAATCTATTTAAGAATAAATCTGAATTTTAGTTTTAGGTGATAATTTGTATCACTCTTACACAAATACCTTAATTTGAAAGAAATCTGAGTGTTTTGCTGGAGTTAAGTATCATTCCTTACTGTGCAAACAAAATGACTCACTTATCTAAATGCCCATCAGGATTTATGGTATCAGGAAGTGGAGAGTCCCGAAAATATTGTGGTAAGGATGTTTCCTGTTCAAAATTCAAGTCTTCCAATAGAATCTGTTCTTGTGGATCATTAGTTGGGTGGGTACAGGAGGTTAATTGCCATGGTCCTGTTTTGCTGTTCAAATCAAAATTTCTTAACTGCGTTTGTTTTTGAAACCTTGGAAAAGGTGGTCTTTGTCCATGATCTCTACTAACATATTTTTTTAATGACATTTTCTCTGAGAAATCATTGTTGGAATGGTCATGTAGAGATCCTTGTGTGTGCTCTGATACTTCATCAATACATTCTAAATCTTCCAAATTCATTTCATTATGAAAACAGTCCTGGTGGAAAGGTTTTTGCCTTTGAAAACCACTACCTCTGTTGAGAAAATGAAAGCTTTGTACTAGTAACTGGTCCTGAAAATCACCATGGAGTGGGTACTCACGGTTGTTAGAGAAAGGTTGTCGTTTTTGTTCCCAACTTCTGTTAGTAAAACCAAAATCTTTTGTTGGAAATTGTTCCCAGCAGTTACTATAGGCCTGATGTTTCTGAATGGAATGTGTCCTTTGTCCATCAACTTTGCTAACAAAATCAAAATCGTCTCCAGCATCTGGTTCGTGACAGCCACTGTGACACTGATGATCATGAAATGGTCTCGGTCTTGTTCCTTGTATCTTGTTGAAATCTGTTTCTTCTCGGGAGACGCCATAACACTGGTGATTAGCAAAGAATGAACATCTTGGTCCTGGTCCTTTGTTACTCATATCCCAATTTCTCAAGTGTCTCTCTTTTGCCATGCTGTCACTACACTGGCGTTTGTAAAAATCCCTAGGACTCTGGACAGGCCCACTGTTGACATAATCATAATCCTTTATCTGTGGATCATTTCGAGGGTGCTGGTCATTAAGATGTCTTGACCTTTTCCCAGTCCTATTAGGGGGAAAATATGCTATAAATGCTAAGTATTTGAATAATAAAGGATAAATGCTATGCCGTTAGTAAAATCTCGCCTTGTTCAGTTCAACAGGACACAAACTATTGTTTCCCTGAACTGAATTGCGCCACATTTTCATTTTTCTCTTTTGTTTGTGCTTAAGAGCCCCAAACTCTCTCCTGCAACTATTAACTTGTAAATTTCCAAACAAGTGTGTTGGTATTAAATAGTATTTTTTTTCCCCTAAAAACTAGAGCACAACACATTTTCACAGCATCTTTTCATTTAAAGGAATGTGTCATAACCAGATCACTTTTATCATAATCTATGATAGGTTAAAGAAGTAATCTTACACATATGGCTGGTAACATTCTGTATTATTGTACTGACTTCATGTCAGAAGAAATAAAAAACATATATTGATTTTTATATAATTACTCCTAAAAGCTATGAATAGAGCTTATAATATAAAATATTTGGTATAAATAATATATTTGGTAGTTCCAGTTTTTTTTTTACTTTTATAAGTAAAGCTGCTATGAGCATTCATGTCAGATTTCTCTGTGAACAAGTTTTCAGTTCTCTGGGATAAATGCTCAAGAGTGCAAATGCTGGGTTGTATGCTAAATCTATTTTCAGTTTTATAAGAACTGCCAAACTGTTTTATAACATACACAACACACCAACTTGAAAGAGTTGGAAGAGAAATAGATAGCATTTGGAATAAAAATAACTATTTAAAAACCCTAGGATAAGATACTAAAACTGACCACAAAGTTAGTTAGAACTTTGCTTCCTAGCAACAAGAAAAGGAAAGTTTCATAAAAACAAAACACAACCTAAACAAAAATAAACAACAAAACCCCTCAATGTTGTCTGAAAATTTCTGGCATCAAATTCTGAGAGGATTTTACTCACTGAAGATAAACAAATGCTTCCTTGGAATGCGGGGCGCAGATATTATGTGAAGGAAGAACTGTGTCAAGGCAGATATGAACTGCCGTGATAACCAGAAGAGTTCTGTACAACCCTTCATGTATTTCATGCACATCATGTGATGTTGCTAATGCCTAACAAAATGCCTGGCATTGCTCAAGCACTCAGTGAGGGGTGGAGAGGAGAAATCGGTACCTTCAGGTGGCAAAATACTGCATGTTTTAAGATAAGATTTGAAGCCAGAAGAAAGAGGCGAACAGGAGAATATTGTCTAGTCTAGCTTGTATTAAATCAGTTCATAGAAGATAATCTCAATTTATTGCTACTTCAGTTAAAAAATACAAATACCAAATATTCCTCTTGATTTAAAATAAGTATTTAAAGTAAGTATTGTGTATTGTGTATTCTGTGATTAGTTTATAGAGAAAAATGCCAATAGAGAAGAATGCAACTTTTTTGAAAGATAGAGGAACAAAAAGGTTTTAAGATAATTTTTAAATTCTCTATCAGTTTATAAAGATATGTGTATATATGTGAGTCATAGAAGAAATTCTAGTACCATTTGATAACCTTATCCACTTTCTGCTAATATTGGTAGAATAAATACAAATTATTACTTAGAATTGGAGCATTTTAAATTTTGAAGGAATCACAGAGATTACCTAGTTTAATATTTGCAAAATAGTTTGGAGAACATTAGTCTTGTTAATACTAATGTTAATACTTATTCTGTCAAGGGGAAAAGAGTTTTGTGCTTGAAAAAGTTAGGAAAATGCTAGGTTCAATAAAATTTAATAAATTTCTTAACTTTAGGAATTCTAAGGGCTTTTGATAAGCTAGTGTTCATGGTGACATCAGCAAGCATTTCCAAAATTAATCTTAAAAAAACACTGTTTATTCCTGTAAAACAAATAATACTTCACAAGATAAGAGTTTTCTATGTCTTAGAATATAGCTTAAGAAAAGCTAACTGATCTTGTCCAATTTATGTTACAAATTAAACAACAATGGTCTGAAAAGGTTGTGTCACTGGCTCTATATTATCTACAACTTAAAAATGGCAGAATCAGATTTGGTTGTAAACTTCCCGATTCCCAATCCCATGGGTTTCCCCCCTATTAATATGTATCTAAACTTTCATAAAATATTCATCTACAATTATGTTACTTTTACCCATGAAAGTCTTCATTTGGGGACCAATCTTCAGATTCTTCCACAGAATTAGATGGGAGATTTGCATCTTCATCAGAATCCCAGACATCCATTCCAAGATTACTAGAGGAAAAATATCAATAAAAAATTCTAATTCAATCAGAAACAAGGTCATATGCTTTTAGACACATAAGTTGAGCACAAAATAAGATAAAAAGCACATCTGCACACCATTTGCATCTTGGAAAAATCTGTGAATATTTTTCCATTTGGCCTTCTTGGATAGAATAAAGCTTAAGAATCTTGAGGTAGAGGTCATCAGTCAAGCAAAATTAAGGATGTTAGGATTTTCAACTTTGAGGATGTAAACATCTCCTGTGGCCAAAAGATCATAAAAATAAAGGGCTTCAGGAATAGGCAGTATGAGGAAGTGCTGAAGGGAGAGATAAAGGGGGAATGGGAATAAGTCAGGGGTACTAAAGTACCGGACCTCAGACATCCCTAACTCTCCCCTTCCATATACCTTCCCTGACTACCCATACTTCCATTATTTGAAATTACCTTACTGAATGCCTTTCTCCAGGACCATGCATTCAATCACTGACTTTTCCATTCAGCAAATATTTGTTAGGTGCCCAACATGTGCCCGGCACTGTTCAAACACTTAGAGACATGGTCATGATCAAAGCAGGTGAAGTCCCTGCTCTCAAAAGAGAGACAGACCACAAGTATGTAAATGGTATCATTTCTGATAGTAATAAGCGCTCTGTAGGAGCTCCAGGGTAGAATAATAGTGATTGGGAGAGAGGGACAGGAAGGGCTGACTCTCTGAGGTGGTGACATTCAAGCAAAGTCAGTCATGCAAATATATAGCATTCCAAGTAGAGCAAAGAGCAATGCAAAATTCCCTCACATAAGGTCCTGTAAGACTGCACAAAGACTTAGAAGCCTCATGAGGAAAGGGAGCTGGTCTGTCTTATTCACTTGCTGAATTCTCAGGGCCAAGCAGAGTACGTGGACACAGTAGGTACTCCATAAATACTTGTGGAATGGAAAAAGATGGGTAATGTGTTCTGCATCATAGCACTTAACACGTTCTTACATCTGCTGGTTTATTCACCTGTCTCCTGGAGGGCAAGGGCTCTTCCCAGCCCCTATAGCTTTAGCATCATGCCTGGCATATAAAATACTTAACAGAATTCCTGAGCGGCATATAAGAGATGTTGAACCAATACTGTATCTTTATTGGAGAAGATAAAATTAAATGGAAGGTATTTAGGAATGCCTCACTGAATTTATGCTAAAAGACACTTAAGGTTTTTGTGTAGCTACAATGTTGTTTAGTTTCAAAAAGTAGAAAGATGATATCTGAACATGTTATAAAGGCAAGATCTTCTCAGGGATAAAGGCCAGAGAAGGTAAAAAGAATTATATCTGAGTGTCTATAAATGACAATCAATACCTTAGTAGAATTTTAATATGAGTTCAGAAATTATTTTTCTAAATTCTAGTAAAAAGGATACTAGTGTTGTTGTGGTGTATACGTTATCTATTGGAAATAACATTTCCTCAGGTAAAGGCTATAAACAAGTATAAGGAAAAGGTTTCAATAGAAAAAAACACATGAGAGAGAAGATTTAATTGAATAGCTCTTATAAGAAATAGAAAAGAGTAACCAATAAGTTTTCCTCCCAGAGTACTTGAATAAATACTAAGAAGGAAATCTCTAGCTCTCAGGCCAAATTCAAGTTGTGGTTAAATTTTATTTAGCTTCTTAAATTCTGAAAGATGATAATGCTTTAAGTGCATTATAAAGTAGATGTGGTCTTTAAAAAACAAATATAAAAGTCATTATTTTTATGAGCTATTGTATAAACTTTCCCAAACATCCATGATTTGAAAAGAAAATATTCCCTACGTAGGTGTGAGATTTTTGTATGAAGTTCAGGTGTGAGCAAGATTTGGAGGTCATATGATAGAAATAAGAGCTGAAGTGACAAGAAAATGGAGTATAGGAATAAAAGCCAAACACAGTCTTATCAAACATCTGCAATAGGATGAAGAGGAGACCACTAAGGCAAATGGAGCTATGAGAAAATTAAGAGTCAAACTTGGATAGTATTGTATCCAAAATAAAATAATTTAAAGTATATGTAGAGAGAGTTAATGATGCCAGATGTTGCAAAGAAAAACTGTAGGATTTGGCTAGGTGGTTGTTGACCTCTGAGAAGGAAATTTTAATTAAGTGGTAAAAACAAATGATACATTTAGGAAGAGAATAAGAAGGTAAAGAAATTGAAGTAGTGATCCTAGACAAGTGCTTTTTAAAATGTGATAATGGATCAAAAGAATGGAATGGTAATTTGTACAAGATGTAGAAACCAACAGAATGGTTCTAAGTATTTTTACAATTTTGTATACTTAAGGTATACAATTTGATGATTTGATATACATATACATTGTGAAATAATAAGACAATTAACATGCATCTCTTCACATAGTGTGCATGTGTGTGTGGTAAAAATTTCAAGTATACGGTATGTTATTATCTATTGTCACTATCCCATATGTTAAATCTCTAGAAATTACTCATCTTACATAACTGAAACTTAGTACCCTTTGACAGACAACTCCCTATTTTCCTGCTTCCCTACTCAGTCCCTGGTAACCATTCTACTCCCTGCTGCTAGGAGCTTGACTTTTAGATAACACATGTAAGTGAGAATATATACCATTTGTCTTTGTGTGTCTGGCTTATTTCACTCAACATAATGCCCTCCAGGTCCATTTATGCTGCCACAAATGGCAGATTATTTTTTTTAAGGATGAATAATAATGAATAATAATAAGGATGAATAATATTCCACTGTGTGTATATATCTCATTTTGTCTACTAATCTGTTGATAAACATTTAGGTTGTTTCCATATCTGAGCTATTGGGAATAATGCTTCAGTGAATTAAGAGTGCAGGTATCTCTTCCAGATCCTGATTAATTCCGGATTTTCAATATCCAGAGGTGGGATTGCTGGGTCATACGCATAGTTCTATTTTTAATTTTTTAAAATTAATCTGGGGCAGCCCAGGTGGCTCAATGGTTTAGCGCTGCCTTCAGCCCAGGGCATGATCCTGGAGACCTAGGATCGAGTCCCACGACGGGCTCCCTGCTTCTTCTCTGCCTGTGTCTCTGCCTCTCTTTGTCTCTGTGTCTCTCATGAATAAATAAAATCTTTAAAAAATAAATAAAATAAAATAAAATAAAATAAAATAAAATAAAATAAAATAAAAGCAATCTGTATGCCCACTGTGAGGCTCGAACTCACAACTCCTGAGATCAAGAGTTGCATGCTCTACCAACTGAACCAGCCATTTTTTGAGGCACTTCCATACTGTTTTCCATAATGACTGTACACATTTACATTCTAACCAATAGTGTACCAGGGTTCCCTTTTATCCATAACCTGAGTTATTATTATTATATTATTATTTTCTAAAGATCTTACTTATTCATCCATGAGAGACACAGAGAGAGAGAGAGGCAGAGGAAGAGGCCGGCTCCATGAAGGGAGCCCGACTTGGGACTCGATCCCGGGTCTCCAGGATCATGCCCTGGGCCGAAGGCAGCCGCTCAACTGCTGAGCCACCCAGATGTCCCAGAATAATTATTGTTTTTAAATAATGGCCATCCTAACAGGCATGAGGTAATATCTAATTGTGGTTTAATTTACAGTTCTCTGATGATTACTGACATCAAGCATCTTTTCATACACCAATGGGCCCATTTGTGTGTCTCCTTTAGAGAAATGTCTGTTCAGACTCTTTGCCCATTAAGAATTTCTTTTTGCTACTGAGTTTGCAAATATTTTCTTTTGTTCTTTAGATTGCCTTTTCAACTTATTTCCTTTATTGTGCAGAAGCTTTTTAGTCTGATGTAGTCCCACTTGTTTAAGTTTGCTTTTCTTGCCTGTGCTCTTGGTACCTTATCAAAGAAATCACTGCCATGACCAATGTCAAGGAGTTTTTCTCCTAGGAGTTTTATGATTTAGGGACTTATATTTAAGTCTTCAATCCATTTTGAGTCCATTTTTGTGAGTGGTGTAAGATAGGGGTCCACTTTCATTCTTTTGCATGTGAATACCCATTTTTCTTAGCACCATTTATTAAAGAGACTATCCTTTTCCCATTGTGTATTCTTGCTGCCCTTGTCAAAAATTGACTGTATAGGCATGAGTTTCCAAGCACTCTATTCTGTTCCACTGGTCTATATGTCTGCTTTATGCCAGCACCATATTGCTTTAATTATAGTAATTTTGTAATCTAATTTGAAATCAGGAAGTGCAATGACTTTGGCTTTGTTCTTCTTTCTCAGGAATGCTTTGACTATTTGAGGTCTTTTGTGGTTCCGTGTAAATTTTAGGATTATTTTTTCTATTTCTGTGAAAAATGCTATTGGAATTTTAATAGGGACTGCACTGAATCTAGTATGTTTCTTTTTTTTTTATATAGCATTAGTGTCTTTTAATTTCTTTATTTATTTATGATAGTCACACACAGAGAGAGAGAGAGGCAGAGACACAGGCAGAGGGAGAAGCAGGCTCCATGCACCGGGAGCCCGACATGGGATTCGATCCTGGGTCTCCAGGATTGTGCCCTGGGCCAAAGGCAGGTGCCAAACCGCTGCGCCACCCAGGGATCCCTAGTATGTTTCAAAGTAAGAGAAAAGTGGCAAGGGAGGTTTAAGATATGAGAGGGCAAAGAGATAGTGACAATGAGATCCTAGAGTTAAAGAGGAATAATATTCTGTAGAGATGGAAGTTAAAAAAAAAAAAAAGGAAACTTTTTTTCTAAGAATGAGGTAGAAGCTATTAAAAAGAGAAGGGGGTAGTAAGTCATATATGGGAGTGACAACTAGACTCTATTGCGAATAATCATAAACCCTATTCTAAAATCACAAAAATAAGGTAATTATATGAGGTGATGGAAGTGTGAACTAACCTTATTGTGGTAGTTATTCCACAACATACATGTGTGTCAAATTATCATGTGGCACACCTTAAACGTATGCAATGTTATATGTCAGTTATATAAAGCTGGAAAAAATTAAGCGTAAGTCTACCACATGAC